TACAATGCGTTAGTTTTTCATTTTAAGCACATTGTGTTACCTTCTTGGTATAATTAATTATAGTACTATCTGTCTGTTAATTCTACTGCTCAGTTTTGACTTTTAGGTAGCATTTTAAAGTAATTTCGTAACCTTTAAAATGGAGAGCACGTAAGTGTTTTCTGTGCAAGAAGCGGAAATCTGTGATGAAATTTAGCAGATAAGTTACCCGAAGTAGGAAGTGATAATAAATTAGAAAAGTGTAAGCGAAACAAGATATATTTGTCAATTCTGCCAGGTTGCACTTCACAAGGGTAAATGCTTTACAAAATATCACACTCGTAAAAAATACTAGACATGTTAATAAATAACTTTGCAAAATATTAAAAGAATTGATGTTGATTGAATAAAGCTACAGCGTTTTAAACCATTCAAATGTATTTATTTAATTCTAAAAAATGCCTGGAAAGCGTGAAAGGCAGAATATATTTGACCCGTCCGTTAAGTGTTAAGGCGAGGTGCCAGCGTTTTGGGGGCCTTAACACTTGAACTTCTGATGGCTTCAACTTCAATGGAAACTGAAGCGTATTAAGGTAGCGTATGGAGAAATTAGAGAAAATCTTAGGCAGATAATCCATTCAGATGAAAGGAACCTAAGCCGAAATGAATTACTAATGCTTTGCAGATACTCACTTGACCACAGCGAACCTATATTGGTAGTTGATTGTAAAGCAACATTCAATTTCAACAATTAATCTTTTTTAACGCATTATAAATTCCATTCTTTTGTAAACAAAGTGAAAAAACTGAACATTGCCATCATTCAATGCATAATTAAACATAATTTAAGCAAAAAGGAATTATAAAAATGGATTTGATTTGTAAGACTACTATTATTTAATTTATAAGGCTGTTTTTATTTTAAAATTAGGTATTATTTTATATAGATTTTAATTTTTCTATAGAATGCTTCCAGTGAAAACATTTTTTTCCTTTGATCTTAAAGTTTTTAGCATTTTATGAATATCCGATTGAAATAAATATTTCCCCCGAGTGCAATGTTTTTTTTTTTTTTTTTTTTTTTTGTTTCGTTTCTTTAAAATATTAAACAAGAATGATTTGCACTGATGGTTTCTGAATACTGTGTAAGCCTTCAAAGTACGCTAGCATAATAACTAGGCATAATCAAAGTCCTGTCAAATATTCAGTTAGTCTTTCCAATTAGAAAAAGACTTTTGTAATTCTGTAAGGACTTTCCCAAGGCTCTGATTTTAATCCGATTAAGTATTTTACTGAAAATAATTCCTACATTCACGTAAATAAGTTAACTCCGTTAGCTAAGATAATCAAATAACTTTCAGGACAATTTGAGAAAAATTATTACGTTGGAGAATATAGATTTTATTTTATTGATATTACAAATACAACTAGGCACAACTAGAACAATTATTACGTTGGAGTTTATTTCCCATCAAATATGGATTTTATTTTATTGATATTACAAATACAACTAGACATGGAACTGTACTTGTATAAAAAGGAAATGAGCGATTTTGTTAGTAAGTGGAATAAAAATGATTAATCCGTATCCTACCAAGTTAATATTTATAAATTTGGATTTAAAATATACATTCTTTGAGTACTTTAAACCGAGATTTTATACCGAATGTGTTTGAATATAAACGCATAAATGGGGTATTATAAGAGGAGTTCAAAGTTGCGCACTGAAAAACGATTTAAGATGATCCATGAATTTTTCATGAAAACACTTTCTAGAAGTTTTCTGCTTTTCATAAAAGTATGGAGCATTTCGTATTTAAATTATTTAGTCATACTGAAATTTAATCAGTTGGAAAGCTTGTTTTTAATTTTTATTTACAAAGCTCTAAAATCTTAAAATTCTCCATCTTTTTTCAGGTACTAAATTAAAAGTATGTATCTAAAATTAATATCAAGGAAAATAAAGCCTTCAGTCACTTTTTTTGGGGAAAATAAGATATATATTAAAATTTATTACCATTCTTTATACCAGCTTTCAAAAGTTGAGTTTAATTATTGGTAAAAAATTTCATAGTTTTCAAAAGCTGATCTGAAATTTTAAAGTAAATGTTATTTTAATTATATTAGTAAAATGCCCCATTAAAGTTTCACACTTCGTAAAATGTTAAATTCGACACATAAAACAACACGAATACTTAATTGCATTGAAATTTATTAACGATCAAAGCATTAAGCTTGTACGTTTCACCTTTTTCAAAATCATTAAATGAGTTTTGAAGAAGTAAGCGTTCTTCCAATAATTATATACAACGAACAAGCAATTACTCAAACACCACATCCAATTTCTAAATAGCAGATTTGTTATGTGAGTAAAGTTTATAATAAAACTTTTTTTCAATAAAAATTCATTATTCTGAAGAAAGCTAAATATCATTTCGGCAGTAAGTAGCTCAGATATATTTCTCATAATTATGAAGAAATTTTACATTCCTTCATTAAAGTTTCATCTTAAAATTATTCATACCTTGCATGCTTTGCAGAAAATAAGATAAGAATATAAAAAAGCAAATATTTTTTTTAGTAACTACTTCGAATTAGGAAAATGAAGAGAATATTTAGTCTGAATCTGCATAATATAAAAATGCTTCTCATAAATAAAAAATTAAGATAGAATGAAATTTCATGAATAATGAAGAATATGTATAAGAACTTGCTAAATCAGACTGGTAAAATGATAATAAGTAATGCAACATTTATTAAACATGCAACTGGTGAAGAAGACAAAAATGACGTCACAATTTGACCACGAATAAAACCCAAATACCCTCTTTTGGTAAGCTTATAACAGAATCATACACTTATATCAAATACATAAAGACTATAACTTTCTCACTTCCAAATACCAAACATGAAAATTTTTGTACTGATTTCAGTCGTACATCTAAAATAAAAATAGATGTATATTTGCTTTCATGATTTAGGCCGTTTTCTTTACTATGGCTGACAGTTTTTTATTATGGGTTCTTTTTAAAACAGGTAGTTTTCAGAAGACATTTTTTCTGTAGAGAGATAGATAACTGATAGAATAGCTAGAGGAGGAATAATGGTTGTTTGCACAAAAAATTTTATACAATAAGCTTTGTATAAAAGAACAATGCACAGGGTCATTTTACACGGCAATAACGTTCGGATAACCAAAAAAAGTGGGGAGGGATTGCACATAGCAAAAAACTTCACATATCATAAAAGAACTTTGCATTAAGAAATTTTACATAAAAGAATTTTGCCATTAACAATCCTGGCATAAACGAACTAGTAAATAATGGATATTATGCATAATAAATAACGGATATTTTGTTACAAATAAGTATTTTATTCAAATGACACGTGAGTGATCGCCGATTTGTAAATGAAAATTTTTATAAGGCTCTAAATGTATATAAGTGCCAAAACCACAATTGTTCTAAATCTTTCTAAAGGTAAAAGGAACAATTGCAAAACATTTGTGTACTACGTGTGTAATGAACGTTATCTAGTACACATTTTTTAAGGTACACGAAGGGTCCCTCGTAAAGCCCTGCGGCGTATTGCGGTCTGAATAGTTAGTTCAACTGAACCATACTCACTTATCTATGGTTAAACATTGGGTATCCACCGTTCATAAAACAGACCTCACCTGGTTGGAAAGGAAGATGGAAGGAGAAGCATTCATAATTAGAAGGAAAGGAATAAACTGGCTCTGTTTAGTTCGATCCCTATTAAACTAAACTTGAACTCATTAATTAGTACAAGAAAATGTGTAGTAAATCAGTGTTAACCTCTATCTACACTCTACCTGCTCTATTTACTTGTAACTATTACAAAAGTTAATGAAAATGCTTGGAGAGTGAAACGAAAAAATTAACTTAATTTATGAAGGAATATATACATGGAATACATACAGTTGCTTCACTGCTCCTGACATCTGGATAGATTGCATTGTCCTTTTGGATAGATTAAAATGTCTGAAAACATGAATACTCCAAAAACATGTTGACAAAAGAGAAACTTCGGGTCGATTGGTGAGGAATTTTTCAAGTAAGATGGTTGCGCTAGACAGGGATCTATTTCTGTTTGAAGAAATTTATGCCAAGCTTCTTAAACATCTTTTGCTCAAAATGTGGCACCTGCTATTGGTAAAAATAAATTTTAACACTTCTTGCACTACAACACAAATAAGACTGTCCAAGATGATGTCGCTTCATATTGCTTCTTTAACAGAAAGTATGCTAACGCTGTCTAAGAGCTCAATTCAAGTACTGCGGATTTCAAGAATATGATATGACTTATTCACAGCTTTCGTAAACCAAAAAAGTAATAAAGACCCATTAAAAATATACTAAAAAATAAACTCTGTTTATGTCTGAGAAGTTCTTAAATGATTCACAAAGTTTCAAAAAAAATACTTCAGTACAAATGTAAAAGTACATCAGTACATATGATAATCATAACTTATGCATATGTCTGCCAACAAAGAATGCATCTCATATATTTATTATTTTTATTGTTCAAACAAATAAATAGTACAGTACAAAATGAAAACTGGCTTAAGGAAGCCTCAGTCAAGATTAAATGTGGATTTGCATTCCCATATGAGGAAACCTTTGGGAGATAAAAATTAATTTTCCATTTGGTTACGCATGTATTTGCTGAAATTTTAGTTTACAAAATTTTTATTGGTGAATTAGAACGATGAAATGTTTGTGTGAACAGAATGTGAAACAGAAGTTAATTTTCAAACAACCGATATTATAAAGGATCGGGAACAAGAAAATTAACGGAAATTACGAAATTGAGAGCTTCATCGTTGAAACAATGTTTTCTTGTTGATGAATTTTAAACATGTCAAGACACAAAATGTTTCGCTAAGGATAAACTTTCCAGTTAATCTCCTTCATCAATTAGTAGAAGGCTGGGACCACTTAACTCAGATTTCGGGACACAAAAATCAAAGCAGCGGCCATGAGATGCCTCTTAATTACCTGAGAATGGTAAACGAGATTATGCTTGGTGAGAGAGCACTGTCGCTCGAGCACAAAGCCATACCGCCGTCTCTCTTGAGTTATAGCCTGAAAAAGAAGAAAGTACACGGGGTTATTAAGAGCAGAAAAAATAATGTACACCACTTCGTCAAACGGATAAAGTGAATTAAAGTCTAATGGAATGATGATTAAGTGTCCCGCTCCTCATAAGAAATTAATCATTTAATGAAGGAACTGATTCGAAGCTTTTAAATTACCTTCATGTCAGTAGGTTTTTCCCCTGCTCTTCAACAATTTGAAGATTTTTTTTAAGCCATGCTTTAACACACCAATAAAGTTAAAAACAGCCATGTATTTAAACTTCAAGTCTCTGAAGACTGCGCATATATTTAAGTTTCATGTTCCTGCTATCACTGTTTCTTTTACGGACCTACATGTTTATCTAAAAATTATGTTCATATAATTATTGGAAAAGTTTTCCAACAAATATTTTTATTTTTATGGGTTTATATTCACCATCAACAAAAATACCCATTTTTGAGTAGCATTATTAACCAGCCCCTTCTTAACCTCTTCATCGGCCTACAAAACTCAAATATTTGCTTCTTTTTTCCAATCCAAAGATAAATTTTCTGCGTCTGAAACTAGTCTTAGAAATCTTCTTTCCCTTTCACCAGCTGTCAAGTTCTATTTAGAAAACTGTTTACTTGTCACATTCAAGAATGCTGTCTCCATAGCACAGTGAAAAAATTATTTAATGCTCTTTAGTCTCTTATCTGAATGTTAGCAAACACGAATCACTAAAAGGCATGCTTTCAAATCAACAGAAGTTGCAAAGGTGATGGAAGTGGATTCCTATTTTCCGCCTTCTGTGAATTTATTTGATGTGATCCTGATAACCCTGCTGTGGAGAGAGCGTAACCAAGTAAGACAATCATGACATTTGTCACTTTTTGCTTTACTGTGGGGGGGGGGTTGGAAAAAGAAACGTAGACTATCTCTGGGGCAACGATCCAGGCCACATTTAATCCCGACTAGTGTCTGCTGTTACTGACACCTAAAAACATTTTTCAAATCGACGAGTCTGTCTCGGGATAAAGTGTTTAAGATCAATATTACAATTAGATTTACATGAGCCGTTCATTACCTGCATATTTCACGTTCCATTGCTGATTCTTTTGAACTACCTTTTAATCTCATGATTTATCATTCCCTGCGTCAGTCAGAGCATTGGCACTGCAACATTTTGTAAATGAACTAAATGGGTGAACACAGCTCTTGGGTAATGCTTGCAGATGTCCAAAAATTTCGGGAAAATATTGCGATTCTATGGTAGAACCCGCGTTTTTGGAAAAGGTGTGTCTTAGAATCGGAGAGACTCGGTACGTGAATGCATCAAAAATAAACCAATTTTCTTAAAACCGTGCTTTAAGATTCTACAATTAGGAATGATTTCTGGAAATTTAACATTAAAAAACGTAGTTACCTGTTTCAAACTCCTCTCGCAAAAACAATCTAATTTCATCTTCTCTTCCTCCAATTGTTGCAAATTCTGAAACATGTAAGTGTTATATAACTTCCGGTTTTACAGAAATTAGCATAATATAATGATCTATGTAAACTAGGTTAAACCAGTTGTATAAAAAATTAGATAGATTAAAAAGTTTACTTCAAGAGAAAGACTTCAACGAAAGTACTTTCTATGAACAAATGCTACGAACAAAAAAGAAAGCAACTTTACATTTGACATCTGTATGAAAAATAAAATATGCTCCCATTTCTACTAATTTAATGTTACACAATTAATTCAAAAAGCAATGCCAAAATTTTACTCTATATTTTTGGGGGAAAGGAGTGGGTTATATCATGCAATTATAAAATTTGAGTATTCCTTTTTATCAATAAGTATTATATATATCGTATTTATTTTTATCAATAAGTATTATATGTTGTGTATTTATTTTCTTTCAATGTATTATATATCGTGTGTTTCTTTTTATTAATAATTTATCAACCTTTTGCATTCTGCATGTTGTTAATAGCACAATATTGTAATTAACAAGACCAATGAACAGAAACAATTTCAATACAAAATGAAAATTAGGTATATTTGAATACATTAGAAACTTGATCTTTTATTGTTATTCTTTATCTTTTATTATTATTATCTTATTATTCTTAAATGTTAATATAGAAAAGATGTCTTTTTCTGATCGAATTTATATAAATATGATCAGGAACATTCTCATGGAAAATTTGTCTTCATGCTATGCGCTGCTTATTTGCTGTTACTTCTGGACCAGCGTGAAGTTTCGGTATATACTGTCCCAAAAAGATGATAAGCACTATAAAAGAATAATGTGATGGTGAAAATTATGTTGAATCTAAAATGAAAATAACTACTGTGATGGCAATGGAAATTTTGAAGATAATTTACCAAGGATAAATTAACTTTTATCAGAATTCAAGAATATATGCAGATTATATTAGTATCTTTATTTAATAGTCAACCATGAGTTAGAACTAACTAAAAGAGTAACAGTCTTGCAAAGGATTCCGGAAGGGACAATTAATTGAAATTCATTCTGTAATGCAGCGTCTGTGAAATTTATAATAGATAATAATCTTAAAAATATCAGCGCAAAAAACTAAAAAAAAAAAAAAAAAAAAAAAAAAAAAAAAGAAAAAAAAAAAAAAAAAAAAAAAAAAAAAAAAAAAAAAAAAAAAAAAAAAAAAAAAAAAAAAAAAAACAAAAAAAAAAAAAAAAAAAAAAAAAAAAAAAAAAAAAAAAAAAAAAAAAAAAAAAAAAATAAAATCAATAACGAATGGAAAAAAAACCTATTATTATAATACTCTTATACATAGCATATTACGTTAGAACTAAAATAATATGTGAATAAGGCAGTTTATTTACAATTTGCGTAACAAAAAATTCGGATTTTTTAAGCACTGCATGGGCAATAAAGTAAACAAATGATACGATTTAAGAAAATAACGTGTTAAATAATATTGCGTAAAGAAAATTATGTGATTCCGATTTACGTTCAGAATAGTACAGATGTTATTAATAGAAATGATGTTTTGATTTATAGAATTCACAAGCAATAATAATTTTATTTATGTGTAGCAGAATTACGATTATCAGACAGAAATCAGATACTAATTCTTATTTACGTGGGGCAGAATTATGTTTATTCGGCAAATTGTTTTACTTCTCCTACCAGAGATTAAACTGGTAAATGTTTTAATGTTTAAACTAATATGAGTAAGAAAAAATTTGCGCAATAATTTAAATTTCATATTAGGAAATATTTCTTTATCTTTTATTATTATTACCATATTCTTTATGAACTACCATTAACGGAGATTGCTGATCGGGAGAAAAGTGGTTTATGTCATGCAGTGAAGAAGTATGATCAACTGAAGAACTCTCAGCTCAATGAACTGCTGGTAAGTTAATGAACGTCTAACATGTAACAATTGTTTCTCTTTTCCGTTCGTTTCTCTCTCTTTTTTTACCTTAATTTCTTTGTCCAGATTAGTTCCTCTTCCCTTATTTTTTTTACGTTGCTTTTTCACTATCCCGGCTGCTTTCAAGTAGGACTCCTGTAGGCACTTATGTTGTTGCAAGAATCGCTTCTGCTCGCACTAGAAAGAAAAATCCGTGTTTTCACCAGGAGAATATAAAATGTCATTTTCGTTAAATAATCGCGCTAATCACTATTAAAAATAAAGAAGTACTGAGTACGTATGTATCAATAAAATTCAGGTAAAATGGATTTAATTTATTTTTAAAGAATAGTACAACATAACACTTTTTGAAAATCAGAATAAAACTACTAGTAAGCACAAAGTCCTTTTTTATACATACATTTCTCAACAGCAAATTTTTGAAATTATTTGATTAAATTAACATTAAATGCATTACACTCAAAATGTTGGTTTATAATCATGATCAATCAAGTGTTAAATCCGAAGCCCAGTACTGCAGAGTGACTGAAACAAATGTTTTGAACTATACTAGAAAGATAGCAGTAGACAAACTCAGAATTCGGACATTTTTAAGCATAATTTCATATCATTTCCGCAGATGCGTTTGTAACGAAGGTCATTTTACAATTTCATAAACTTTCATAAGCAGCAATTAATGTTTTAATTTTCACACTGTCGTGTATCTACATTTATGGTGTAATGAAGCTCCCCATCCTTGGATTGGACTGTTCCAAATCTCCATCGTCTATTCACCTTGACAATAATTTCTCATTGCCACTCTACCTCCTACTCTAAATCCTCGGTCTGCAAACTCGTAGGTTCCTTTCGAACTTCGTCTTCCACCCTCCTTTTGAGACCTGGTCTCAATAAATTGTAGGGTTTATATTTATTTTAACTAACATTTATTTTAAGCTATCTTTCCTGTCAAGCCTTTACTTTCCCCTAGAATTGCCAATGCCAGAGTATGTAAATTTTAATAGAACGCGCAGAGTATTCAAAATTTACCAGAAGTAAATTGAGTTTAAATAGAAGGGAAACGAGATTGTAAGGGTGCTTCTGAATCGCGAGCGTGAAGGTTGCTAGGTAGAAATTAAGACCGCGCGTTCGGCCTGTGTGCCTATTTCGGCAGTTCGTTGAATCTTTCAACTTCTTAAACAGTAAGTTTGCTGATCTCAGCTGTCTTAGAACGCGGTTAGTAGTTACGATTTTAGAGCCTCGTAGGTAGTGATTCGTTATTATTCATCTGTCATTTATTTTAGTGTACTTTTCTATTTGTTAAACCCCGGGTCGTGTAGTTTTGTGAGCGTCAAGTGAACGCAGCTGTATTTCTAAAGTGGAATAAAAAGGGATTTAAACCCTTCTTACGAGTTTGTGTAATTTACAGTTCATAGCAGTCAGTACTACTGTTGCTGACAAGTTGGGGCCTCGCAACATTATAAAATCTATTCTTGCTCGAATTTCCCTCTTCAGCATTAGCATTGCAGGGCTCTGCAGAGTAGTTAAATTCGGAGCTTTCCTATATTGCCTCAAAAAGGTACTGAGTTTTTGTCTCAAAGTTTCTGGATAATTTTGCATTGTTCGTAAAGATTGTTTTACTGTAAGCACCTACCGTTCAGCTTGCCCATTACTAGATGGTTTAAATGGTGCTGTAGTTTTGTGTTTAATTCCGTTACTCTGTAGAAATATCTTAAATTCATGTGAAATGAACTGTGGCCCGTTATCACTCACATATTGGTAATCCGAATCGCGCAAAAATGTCCCGTAAACATTCTATTGTTTTGAAAGTCGAGCTTGATTTCATTGGATAGGCTCCTAGCCATTTTGAGTGAGCATCGACGATTATTAAAAACATATGCTCAAAAATAGGTTCTGCATAATCGATGTGAATACGTTCCATTGGAGCGCTCGAGCACTCCCAATAATGAACTACTTTGAAAATAATTTTAGAAATTTGGATCGCTTTGAAATCATACAGAAAGCAAAGCAATAGAGAGTAATTACATCAATTCAGAATTAAATTTTAAAGAAAATATTTCACTTACAGCGACAACTTTCGTATCTTTATCGATATTAGTTTCAAGTGGAACCAGCAGATCCACATAAAATGCTTTCAACTGTAAAAAAAAAGATATCTATATCATTCAGATTTCATTTATAACATATGAACATAATTTCACAGTTTATTAAATAAAGTGAAATAAAATTAAATCTCAATTTAAACTTCTAAAAGTAACAGAATCTCAGTTTGAAAAAAAAAAAAAAAAAAAAAAAAAAAAAAAAAAAAAAAAAAAAAAAACATATAATTCGTAAGCTAAAGCACACAAACCTACAATGTTTAACTGCTGGGACTGAATTTCTTTCTGAACCTCTACTAACTGCAACAGGGCTGTTCCTAAATAAAAAGAAAATTACCAAATTTACACACCATATCAATAGCATGGTAATTTACTTTCTTGAAAAACAAAAATTCTCCATAATAATTTTAAAAAATTGCAAAAATACAATTATATTTTATGCAAAAAAGAAATTTTTTTAACAATGTGCATTCATTTTCAATTAAAAAAATATCTACACTAAAAAGACAGTCAGCTTGCTGCTTTAAACAATATGAAATAATTTTGCAGTCATTCCCCGTCACTTTTACTGATTGTTTTTGTCGGCGTTCAAAATTTAAGTTCAGAAATTCACAGCTAATTTACATATACAGACGAATTTCAGATGATTTTATTTCAAAGTTCGCCACTAACAACTTAACCGTTTACCCCGAGACAGACTCTTCATTTTCATTGTCTTCTCGTCGGGGTCAAATGTGACCCGGAACTTTGCCTACCGATAGAGATTCGTCGCTTCGTCTTTTCGAGTCCCCCCAGTCACACTCTCTCTATGGCGGAGTTGTATTAAGATCACACAAAAGATATTAACTTGAAAAAAATGACAAATAGGAATGTACTTCCGTTACCCTTTCAGCTGGTATTGCAATGTAACTACTGCTCATTTGAAAACGTGACACTCTAGGGGATCGTTTGGTTTAGTTTGATTTATGTGATAATGGCAAAACATCAAGGGCTATCTACCTAAGAGAAGGGATGCCTTCGCGGAGGATTTTCAAAGGAAAACTGGCTCGTATACACGTTATGCATGGAGAAAAGCACGAAAACGTCCATGCAGCCAGCCCGTTCACCGGGATTCGAACTCTGAACCGAACTACCAGTGTTCAGCGACTTTACTGTTCTGCCGCTGGTAGCTCTTTATGAGTTTAAAATTTATGTTTCTTGTTTATTTTTGATAATGGCATTCTAGAAATTTGCAGATAGACTCCCTATAACAGCTCTCATCAGCATTCGAATTCGGGCAAATTTCGGGATGCCCAAATGCCAAAATGATCTGCGCAGGATGGTGGAGGAGGCAAGAATTTTTTTTTTTTTTTTTTTTTTTAAATCTATTTAGAATATAGCAAATATTACTAGACCCTTGCATACTCTAACTTTTCTTTAGACTTTCTAAGAAAATAAAATTTTTCCTTGGACTTTAAAAATTACTAACTGCATCCTGCCTCTCAGGAGATAGCACTGTTCGGAATTAAAGATGAAGGATAATAGCTCAAGGGGATATTAAAATACCAGCAAGAGCATAATTTTTACTTCCTGGACATATGACTAAAAGCAGAAAGTTTAGGTACGCAACATGAAATATCCCAAGAACTGTGACAGCCCATACATATTACCAGCCTAAGCATTCGTTGACTTATGGAGGACTGTTATCACGGTGAGAGCTGCCAATGTAACTGATAAGGCGAAGGTCATTAGGAAAGGTGAAGTGGCGACACCATGTACTCCATTGAACTGCATTAAAGAAAGCAGTTACCTTCCAGAATCTGTGTCTCCGGAGAGCTTAATATCTGAGTAATTGCAGAATGCACAGCTAAGCAATGAAGAGAGAAATGCTGCAGAACGTGCATTCAAGAATTTCAATATGTTTTCTTCTGCTGATGTTCTGACGTAAGTTGAAACAGTTTAGCTCAGCATAGAATTGATATGGAAGATCATCCACCAATCACATAACATCCAAGACGGCTACCGACTGCTAAACAAGAAGAGGTAAAAAAAAACGCTTTAAGTACATTTTTTTTTTCATCATTTGAAAAAAATGAAAAACTTGATTCTGCCGGAAAAATAAGAATACAGAGGTAAGTCTATTTAGAATTGAGCAATTTAGGCAGATATCGCCAAGCTAAAGCCTTTGGCGACCAATTTTTGTCGTTAAATTTATTGAGAAATCGCCTAAAGTCGCCAAACTTGGCCACCATCTGGCAACATTTTTGTCTGGTTCCTGTATAACTGTAATGGGTATTTTAATTGAATATTTGTAATTAATCTATATATGTAACTGTAATCATAACCGGTCCGCATATGCTTTCCAGAAATTTTCAGAAGCAGAAAATACTAGAAATTTCTCAGCCGCCGGGTGAAAACTTTGTAAGACTGGCGACATCATGTGCTCTCAGTTGTTGTTAACACAAACACTTTCTTTCCTCTGTGTAGCATGGCAACGCATGCTGGGTAAAAACAAACAAAATTTTTACACCTCTCCTGGGAACAGTTACGCAACTGAGGGAATCGACCTACTGTGAACCCTCATATCAGGCAGGGGGGGCGTGGGGCACATCCAAACTAGCCCAGCCCAAACCCCTTAGGGGTTTTAAAATAATCTTATGTCTGGAGAACCGGATCCCACACCGGCTCTTAGCCTCAGACTGAATAACTCCAATACTCCGCTTACTGGGCCGGGCCCGAGGGTCACCACTCCCTGTTCTCGGCTTTTCGAGGAGGCGTGACCTGAAACCTGATGGACTTGACGGTCGTAATTGCTCCCGCCATTACACGGACACGCGTCCCATAGGACATACCTAGAACGGTGCCGTCCCACACCAAGCTACAGAACCATCTGGTATAATCTTACGCCTTTCCCCCAGGTCCAGCCATACAAATGACCAACCCCGGGCTCTGGAACCGCCAGGCTCGGATTTTATCCCCCGTGGCCGAGACTGCCTAGGTCAGATCCAGCCAGTAGTAGCTCGCAGAGTTTTCTACGTCACCCCGGGGGCATGGGGTAAACTTAATTTATATATTGTTAGAATTTGGCATTTAATATTAACGTTGTTGAATTGTATTAAATGGTTTTATGCGCGTGCGCGTGACGATATAAACGAAAGCTAAGCCGGAAAATTGAAAACAGAGCGCGTGCATGTACCATTTAATACAATCTTTTTGATTCGAGAAAGTACTAGAAAATCTCGCGTGAGATTTTAAACTTAAGGAGCCCCTCGTTATTTTGGATCTTCAAAGCTCTGAGTATTCATTGATTGTAAATGTTTTTTCACCATTTGCTACTTCGCTCAATACGCCGTCCCTATATGTACATAGTTATAGTTGTAACCTGTGCCTCGTGTTACAAAAACTTTATGTTTAATTTCCAAACCAAGACTTCACTGACTGTGATTCTACTCTTTCAGATGCATTGCGTGGACAGTTCACGGGAGGGTGACCCCACGTGACTACCATGTCAATCTGTGTTTTACGCAAGGAGAATTTGAATTTTGTTAGCTAATCTGTTGCACTTAGTTGTGCCATTGTCTTCATTAGATCGCGATATTGTTTAAGGATTCCAATCTGGATAACCTGTTTCAAAACTTGATAATTATTAATATATTCAGTATTTCTCATTCACGCGTAGTGCTTTCTTGGAGTTGAACTTGGTAGGTCCCCCACGTGACAGGCTCCCAATCATCTCCTCCACTCACCTACATTCACAAAAATCTTTCGCCTGTTGGCGGCGTAATCGCCTTAATTACAATTAGTCCACGCCTAGGGCATTTACCAACCGGTTAAAGTAGCGGTTCTAAATTGCCGCCTAGCCTCGCTCGATTTTCGATTTCGAGTTCGTAGTAGTTACTTAGTTTGTTTTTGTTTAGAAACTGCTCTTGTTGATTGTAGCGCTTCGCGGATTAGCTTTTAGGTTTTGAATAAGTCGTAATGTATTTTGCAGTTTACAAAAACAGACAATCTTCTTTAGTATACATAATTTTTTTATTCTCGGTGATAGAAATTATACAATTTTAAGTGGCAAATTCATACTACTCCTAGCTGCAAAATCTTCAGAAACTAATCTTTTTTTAAAACATATTCACGTTGCTGAGTACGGTTTAATACAAATATGGCGGCCACTTCAACATAATATATTAGTTATTAAATAACAAGATATTACAACCTCTCCCCCCCCATAAACTTTAATTTATATTTTTATATTAGTTTACTTTTTTTTTTTTTTTCAAAACCCACTATCAGCACTATCAGATTGAATACAAGATATAACCTAATAAGAACACAAGGAAGAGAGAAGGACCAATATTTTTTTCTATACAGAGAACCACTATTTAATCATCCAGGGAGTACAATTAATGCGTCTAATTTTATGGTTTTTACACACTTCGATGACGATCGTGTAATTGTAGGGTTAGTACTAGTGTCCATCTCATAAGTCGGGATTTAGACTCGCATTATTTTTGAGCCAAATAAGGATATGATCGGTCATGATGAGGAATTTAGTATGTCCGTCTAAATAATTGAAGTTTCTTTACAGCAAATATTATGGCGGCATTCCTTTTGTGTAGAGTACTTTTTTTCAGTTTCTGTAAACTTCTTACTGAGGTATAATACTGGATGTTCATTGTCTCGTTCATCTTTTTGAGCTAAAAAAAGTATCCACATTTATGTTTTACTCACGCATTTGAAATTCAAAAGAGTGGCTTCTTAAGATCTCACATGCCTTCTTTTAAGATACAGGGGTTGAAACATTTTGCCAGACAACAGAACTCCGTATAACTGGTAAAATAAATGCAAGTGACAACTTTGATAAATGGAGGAGTAAAAAGTTAACAATACTCAAGGGAGAAATAAACAAAATACAGGAACGTTAAAAAGGTCCTTCCTCAATCCAAGAGTCTTAAAAAGGTTAAGAAATTCAAATTTGCTCGCTGTGCGTTAGAAAAAAAAAGAAATATCCCAGAATCCTTTATACAATTTAAAAGAGAATAAGTTTGCCTTTCGAGAAAGCATTCAATCTCTACATTTTAGAAGGAGGAAAAAGAGAAAAAAAAGTATCAAAACTCCTCATGGGAAGACAAAATTTCACATTCTTTGCATAAAGTTTCCCTTCTCTAAGCTATAATAAATACATACAACAGAGATAAGAAATGAAATTCTTTAAACATTCAAAGCACAAAGTGGATTAAAAAATAAAACTGCTAGAGCTTATGTTCTGCATTGAGAAAAAGTTTAATCAAATTTAATTTCGAATTATAACAAATGTGTGAAGAAAAACACATTATTTGAG